TAAATTTTATAAAAGAAATATGAAACTTAAAACTACACAACATTGTTGAAAGAAATGAAAGGAAACCTAAATAAATGTAGACATTCTGTGTTTATAAATCGAAAGATTCAATTTTGTTAAGATGCCAATACTTCCCAATTGATCTACAGATTCAACGCAATCTATATCGAAATTTCAGCAGCACTTTTTTGCAGAAATGAATATGGATGATCCTAAAATTCATATGGAATTAATTGTAAGGGACACAGAATAGCCAAAACAATCTTGAAAAAGAACAATGTTGGAGAACACACATTTCCGGATTTCAAAACTTACTACAAAGTAATCAAAACAGTGTGGTAGGTATAAGGATAAACATATCAATGGAACATAATTGATAATCCAGAAATAAATCAATATATCTACGGCCAATTGATCTCAACTAGCGTGCCAAGATCATTCAATGAAGAAGGAATAGTCTCTTTAACATACTCACATACACGAAATGAAGTTTGAACCTTACCTCACACCACACACAAAAAACTCAAAATGGATCAAAGACCCAAATATAAGAGTTAAAACTATAAAACTCTTAGAAGGAAACATAGGGGTAAATCCTCATACCTTGGATTTGGCAATGGTTTCTTAGATATGGCACCGAAAGCACAGTGACAAAAGCAAACATAGATAATTGGACTTCATCGAAATTAAAAAGTTTTGTACATAAAAGGACAATATTGAGTGAAAAGACAGTCCAAAAATGCGAAAAATATTTGCCATCTTATATCTGATCTGAGTACTTTATATAGTACCCAGAATATATTAAAAACACTTAGAGTTCAACAACATAAAGACAAATAACTCAATTAAAATATGGGCAAAGGACTTCAATAGACATTTCTTGGCAGGGCACAGTGGCTCATGCCTGTGATCCCAATACTTTGGGAGGCCAAGGTGGGCAGATCGCTTAAGACCAGGATTTCAAGACCAGCCTAGGCAAAATAGTGAAACCCCGTATATACCAAAAATATAAAAAATTAGCTGGGTGCAGTGGCACGTGCCTGTAGTCCCAGCTACTCGGGAGGCTGAGGCAGGAAGATCCCTTGAACCCAGGAGATCAAGGCTGCAGTGAATTGAGATCGTGCTATTGTACTCCAGCCTGAGTGATAGGAGTGAAGCCCTGCCTCAAAACAAAACAAAACAAAAAAGACACTTTTTTTTTTTTTTCTGAGACAGAGTGTCACTCTGTCACCCAGGATAGAGTGCACTGGCACCATCTTGGCTCACGGCTACCTGCACCTCTCGGGCTCAAGAGATTCTCCCACCTCAGTGCCCTTTGTAGCTGGGACTACAGGTACATGTCACCACGCCCAGCTAATTTTTGCATTTTTTGTAGAGATGGGGTTTTGCCATGTTGCCCAGCCTGGTCTCAAACTCCTGGACTCAAGCAATCCTCCCGTCTTGGCCTCCCAAAATGCTGGGATTACAGGTGTGAGCCACTGTGCCTGGGTTTCAACAGACATTTCTTCAAAGATAAGTCTATGATAAGATACTGAATATCATAATCACTAAGGAAATGTAGATTAAAACAGGTCAAAATCACCATGAGATACCACTTCACAACAATTAGACTGGCGATAAATATTATTTTTATTTTTTATTTATTAAATTTTTTTTAAATCTTTTATTTAAATAGAGATGAAGTCTTACTGTGTGGCTCAGGCTGGTCTCAAACTCCTGGCCTCAAGCAGTCCTACTGCCTCAGCCACCCAACGTGCTGGGATTACGGGTGTGAGCCACTGTGCCCCTACAACAATAATTTTTGAAAAAGGAAATAACAAGTGTTGCTCAGGATGTGAAAAACTAGAGTCTTCATACATTATTGGTAGAAATGTAAAATGGTACAGCAGCTATGGAAAACAGTTTGGCATTTCTTTAATAAGACAAACCAAATTACCAAATGACCCAGCAACACCATTCCCAGGCATAAACCCCAAATCAACAACCCCTGAAAACAGGTGTTGAAAGAAAAACGTGTACATGAATGTTCATAGCAGCACTATTCACAATCCCAAAAGGTAAAAAACAACCCAAATGTCCATCAATGGACAAAAAGATAACAAAATGTGGTATATTCATACAATAATACATATTATATTATTCAGCTATGAAAAAGAATGAAGTACTGATACTGATACATGCTACAATATGGTTGAACCTTGAAAACATTGTGCCAAGTGAGAGAAGCTAAAAGGTTACATATGATTCCATTTATATGAAATATCCATAATAGGCAAACTGATAGAGACAGAAAGTCAACTGGTGATTCCTTAGGGCTGAGGGAATGGGGGAGTTGGGGAGAGGGAAATATCTAAAGAGTATGGAGTTTCTTCTGAGGCAATGAAAATGTTCTAAAATTGACTGTGGTGACGGTTGCACATATCTGTGACTATACTAAATACCATAGAATTACACTTTTTTTTTTTTTTTTCGAGACAGGGTCTGGCTTTGTGGCCCAGACTGGAGTATAGTAGCATAATCTCAGCTCACTGCAAACTCCGCCTCCTGGGCTCAAGCGATCCTCCCACCTCAGTCTCCACAATAGCTGGGACTGCAGGCATACACCAACACATTCAGCTAATTTTTGTATTTTTGGTAGAAATGGGGTTTCACCATGTCACCCAGGCTGGTCTTGAACTCCTGGACATATGCGATCTGACTGACTCAGCCTCCCAGAGTGCTGGGATCACAGGCTTCAGCCACACACCCGGCTGAATTACACACTTTAAATGAGTAAATTGTATGGTATGTCAATTATATTTCAATAAAGTTGTTTTTTTGTTTTGTTTTGTTCGGGAAAATTGTTTTTTGTTTGTTTTGTTTTTTGTTTTGAGACAGAGTTTTACTCTTGTCACCCAGGCTGGAGTGGAATGGCGGGATCTCAGCTAACTGCAACCTCCACCTCCCAGGTTCAAGCAATTCTCCTGCCTCAATCTCCTGAGTAGCTGGGATTACAGGCACCCACCACCATGCCCAGCTAATCTTTGTATTTTTAGTAGAGATGGGGTTTCACCATGTTGGCCAGGCTGGTCTGAACTCCTGACCTCAGGTGATCCACCCGCCTCAGTCTGCAAAGGTGCTTGGATTACAGGCGTGAGTCGCCGCGCCCAGCCTGTCAATAAAGCTGTTTTAAAAAAGACATAGGATTTGGTAATATCAGCTAAGAGCTGAATGCAAACTCTATGACCCAGCAATCCTAGTCCTAGGTTTTTATCCAGCAAAAAAATTGTACACATGTTCATCCAAAGACATGTACAAGAATGTTCATGGTAGTAAAATTTAAAATAACTCTGGCCTGGGTGCGGTGGCTCAAGCCTGTAATCCCAGCACTTTGGGAGGCCAAGGTGGGCGGATCACCTGGGGTCGGGAGTTTGAGCCCAGCCTGACCACCATGGAGAAATCCCATCTCTACTAAAAATACAAAAAATTAGCCAGGCGCGGTGGCAGGTGCCTGTGATCCCACCTACTCGGGAGGCTAAGGTAGGAGAATTGTTTGAACCCAGGAGGTGGAGGTTGCAATGAGCCGAGATCACGCCATTGCACTCCAGCCTGGGCAACAAGAGCAAAACTCCCATCTAAAAAAAAAAAAAAAGAAAAACAAAACAAAAAAGCTCCGGCTAGGTGTGGTGGCTGATGCCTGTAATCCTACCACTTTGGGAGGCCAAGGCATGCGGATTGCCTGAGCTCAGGAGTTCAGGACCAGCCTGGGCAACACAGTGAAACCTTGTCTCTACTAAAAAATACAAAAGAAATTAACCGGGCGTGGTGGCATACACCTGTAGTCCTAGCTACACGGGAGGCTGAGGTCAGAGAATTGCCTGAACCCAGGAGGCAAAAGTTGCAGTAAGCCAAGATCGCACTATTGCACTCCAGCCTGGGCGACAGAGCAAGACTCCATCTCTAAAAAATAAAATAAAATAAGATAAAATAAAATAGCTCCTAAGTGGAAACCCGCATGCCCATTAACAGTAGAATGGATAAATTATGGTGTATTCAAACAATAAAATGCTGGCCAGGTGTGGTGGCTCACATCTGTAATCCCAGCACTCTGGGTGGCAGAGGTGGGAGGATCACTTGAGCCCAGGAGTTTGAGACCAAGCTGGGCAACATGGTGAAACCCCATCTCTACAAAAAATACAAAAATTAGCGTGGTGTGGTGGCATGCACCTGTGGTCCTAGCTACTAGGGAGGCTGAGGCAGAAAGATTACTTGAGCGTGAGAGGTTAAGGCTCCAGTGACCTGTGATTGCAACACTGCACTCCAGCCTGGGTGACAGAGCAAGACTCTGTCTCAAAAAAATAAATAATAAATAATGAGATGCTACCCAGCAATGAAAATGAACATGCTACAACTACATGCAACAATGTAGATGAATCTATAAGTTTAACTCCTGGTGAGACTAATCTATGGAGTTAGAAGTCAAAATACTGTTTACCCTTGGAGGCTGTGGGTAATGACTAGAAGGGGCTTCTTTGGGGCTGAATGTTCTATTTCTTGATTTCAGTGTTAGACATGTGTGTTGGCTTTGTAGAAATTCATCAGGCTTTATACTTATGATTTCTGTACTTTTATGTCTTTATATTATACTCTAATAAAAAGCTTTACAATTTCAGAATATTTTTGAAAACAGATTTTTTTCTCCCCCACCCCCACCTTTGTGTGTGTGTATGTGGTCACTTGATACTCTTCCATTTTTTAAAATTGTGTAATGATTACTCTATTTCTTCTATTTTTTCAATATTTTTTTTCCTGAAGAGCAAGCCATGGCTTGCCCATAGTAAGCCCCCTACTTTTTTTTTTCTTTTTTCTTTTTTTTGAGATGGAGTCTCACTCTGTCATCCAGGCTGGAGTGCAGTGGTGCGATATTGGCTCACTGCAACCTCTGCTTCCCGGGCTCAAGTGATCCTCCCATCTCAGCCTCACATGGAGCTGGGGCTACAGGCATGATGCACCACCACGATTGGCTAATTTTTGTATTTTTTTGTAGAGATGAGGTTTCACCATGTTGCCCTGGCTGGTCTCTTAATTCCTGGACTCATGCAATTCACCTACCTCCACCTCCCAAAGTGCTGGGTTCACAGGCATGAGCCACTGTGCCTCGCCGTAGTATGTCTTTATGCAAAGCAGAAGTGACCCCCTTCTCAAGGCATTTTATTTCCATATGTCTGAAAATTGTTACAATGAACGGATTCTGTAATAACAAGGCATTTTACTGCCATCTACTGGTAAATTATCATAATAAATTTACAAATTACAATATCATGTGAATGGTGTCCACTTAAAAGTGATATCCTTCAAGACTAGTGAACAATACAGTCAGGATGGCTAATGGTAACCCCAGGAAACCAAGAGGCAAGATGTCTGCTTTTGCCTTCTTTGTACAGATGTGCAGAGAAGAACATAAGAAAAACCCAGAGGTCCCTGTCAATTTTGCAGAATTTTCCAAAAAGTGCTCTAAGAGGTGGAAGACAATGTCTGGGAAAGAGAAGTCTAGGCCGGGCACAGCAGCTTATGCCTGTAATCTCAGCACTTTGGGAGGGTGAGGCGGGTGGATCACCTGAGGTAAGGAGTTTGAGACCAGCCTGGCCAACACGGTGAAACCCCGTCTCTACTAAAAATACAAAAAATTAGCTGGACATGTTGGTGGGTGCCTGTAATCCCAGCTGCTGGGGAGGCTGAGGCAGGAGAATGGCTTGAACCCAAGAGGCAGAGGTTGCAGTGAGCTGAGATCGTGCCATTGCACTTCAGCCTGGGCAACAAGAGCAAAACTTCATCTCAGAAAAAAAAAAAAGAAGAGAGAGAAGTCTAAATTCGATTAAATGGCAAAGGCAGATAAAGTGCACAATGATACAGAAAGGAAGGATTATGGACCAGCTAAGGGAGGCAAGAATAATGATCCTAATGCCCCCAAAAGGCCACTGTCTGGATTCTTCCTGTTCTGTTCAGAATTCCACCCCAAGATGAAATCCACAAACCCCGGCATCTCTATTGGAGATGTGGCAAAAAAGCTGGGTGAGATGTGGAAGAACTTAAATGACAGTGAAAAGCAGCCTTATGTCACTAAGGTGGCAAAACTGATGAAGTATGAGAAGGATGTTGCTGACTATAAGTCGAAAGGAAAGTTGGATGGTGCAAAAGGTCCTGCTAAAGTTGCCTGGGAAGACATGGAAGAGGAAGATGAAGAAGAGGAGGAGGAAGAGGAGAAGGTAGATGAATAAACTGTCAAAAAAAAAGTGATATCCTTCTTCAGGGCAAAATTCATCCAACTAAATGTGTTAAGTCTGTGATTTGGCACTGTTGTGACGAACCCTGCAGACAGTAAAATGTAGACACTTTCTAGGTGGTTTTGTTCTTTCTTTTTTTCCCCTGTTTTGTTACTGTTTTTCTTAAACACATCATTGAAGTATTCACTGTCAGTCTTATCACTGCAAAGCTTAAGCCTATTTAGACATACATGAAAGTAGAAGTCCAATAAATACAAATCAAATTATCAAAGAACAATTGATTTTCTTCACTCTAGTCCAAATCTAGAACAATCCTGGATGTTTTAGGACTGTTTTTCTTGCTCAAAACATTTTATGAAATAGCCTGATCACCTCTTCAGAAGCCTCTCTCAATCTATTGCTTGTTGAGACTATCATATGCACTAAGGTTTCTCCTAAACATTTCTAGGTATAAATTCATTAATATGCTTAACAACCTTATGGGGTAGGAGCCCTTATTCTCTGCATCCCATAGGTGAGGCAACTGAAGCACAAAGAAGTTACATTTCAAGTGATGCTATTACAAACATAGCTTCCTTGGGGAGCTTACAGTCTACTGGGGACACAAAACGAAACAAAGCCATGTAAAGATTTTTAAACAATATAAAGGAGAAAATACTTTGGACCCTGTTAGACAAGTCATTTATCTCCTCCCGGTTGCAGCTTCTTTATCTGTATAACGTAGAAGTTGGATTTGCCCAAGATCACACAGCTAATAAATGGCAGAGCTAGAATCTGAACTTGAGTGTTTCAGCTTCAGAGCCCAATATTGTAATCATTATGCTATACTATCTGCTAGTTCATGGCCTGTTTTTGTTCCTTTGCTGCCTGCCTGCAGGCAACAAGTATTTGTGTTGCCTAGGCTCCTACTATTTTTACCTACAGGATCCGCAGGTGCCCAGTGGGCCCCTGTCTTCTCAGCATCTTGCATTCTTGCAGATCCCAGGAATACCCATGACCCTTGGCTTAAGGACATGGACATCAAGGTGAAAAAATTAGGATAGTGGCTCTGGAATCTTTTGTGTATGTGTGTATGGTAAAATATATATAACATAAAATTTGCCATTTTAACCATTTTTAAGCCTATAATTTGGTGGCATTAAGTATATTCACATGCAACCATCACCACCATCTACCTCCAGAACTTTTTTGTTTTCCCCTACTGAAACTTCACGCCCATTGAACACAAACTTCCCATTCCCTCTCCCTCTAGCCCTTGGCAACCACTCCACTTTCTGTCTTTACGAATTTGGCTACTTTAGGAACCTCATATAGGAGGAATCATACAATATTTGTCCTTTTGTGACTGACTTATTTCACTTAGCATAATGTCTTCAAGGTTCATCCATGTTGTACGTTGTGTCAGAATTTCCTTCCTTTATGAAGGTTGAGCGATGTTCCATTGTATGTATAGACCACATTTTGCTTATCTATTTAACTGTCCATAGATATGTGGGTTGCTTCTACATGTTGGTTATTGTGAACAATGCTGCTTTGAACAGGGGTGCACAAATATCTTTTTGAAACTCTGCTTTCACTTCTTTTTTATTTTTTAAATTTTATTTTGAAACAGAGGTTTGCTCCATCACCCAGGCTGGAATGCAGGAATGGAAACATGGCTCACTGCAGCCTCAACCTCCAGGGCTCAACTGATCCTCCCGCCTCAGCCTCCTGGGTAGCTGGGACCACAGGTATGTGCTGCCACACCTGGCTTGTTTATTTATTTTTAAACTTTGAGACAGGATCTCATCTGTCACCCAGGCTGGAGTACAGTGGTACTAATGTGATTTCACTTATTTTGGATAAGTATCCAGAAGTGGAATTACTGGCTCATAGGGTAATCCTTATTTTTTCCTTGAGACTGGGTCTTGCTATGTTGCCCAGGTTTGACTCAAACTCCTGGGTTTAAGTGATCCTCCCGCCCTAGCCTCCCAAATAGCTGGGATTATGGGGGCGCCTATGTTTAACTTTTTGAGGAAATGCCAAACTGTTTTCCACCATGGCTGCATCAATTTACATTCCTATCTGGGTGTGGTGGCTCACGCCTGTAATCTCAGCATTTTGGGAGGCCAAGGCAGGTGGAACACTTGAGCCTAGGAGTTGGAGACTAGCCTGGGCAACAGCGTGAAACCTAGTCTCTACAAAAAATGCAAAGATTAGCTGGGCATGATGGCGCATGCCTGTAATCCCAGCTACTCTAGAGGCTGGGGTATGAGAATTGCTTGAACCTGGGAGGCAGAGGTTGCAGTGAGCTGAGATCGCACCACTGCACTCCAGCCTGGATGACAGAGCAAGACTCTGTCTCAAAGAAAAACAAAAAACAAAAACAAAATACATTCCCACCAGCAATGCATAAAAGTCCTAATTTCTCCACATCCTTGCCAAAACTTGTTATTTTTTGCCTTTTAAAAAAATAACAGCGGCTGGGCGCCGTGGCTCATGCCTGTAATCCTAACACATTGGGAGGCCGAGGCAGGCAGATTGCCTGAGCTCAGGAGAGTTTGAGACCAGCCTGGGCAACATGGCGAAACTCTGTCTCTACGAAAAATACAAAAATTGGGCCGGGCGCGGTGGCTCAAGCCTGTAATCCCAGCACTTTGGGAGGCTGAGACGGGCGGATCACGAGGTCAGGAGATCGAGACCATCCTGGCTAACACAGTGAAACCCCGTCTCTACTAAAAAATACAAAAAACTAGCCGGGCGAGGTGGCGGGCGCCTGTAGTCCCAGCTACTCGGGAGGCTGAGGCAGGAGAATGGCGTGAACCCGGGAGGCGGAGCTTGCAGTGAGCTGAGATCCGGCCACTGCACTCCAGCCTGGGCGACAGAGCGAGACTCCGTCTCCAAAAAAAATAAATAAATAAAAATAAATAAATAAATAAAAAAGAAAAATACAAAAATTAGCTGGCCATGGTGGTGCGCGCCTGTAATTCCAGCTACTTCAGGGGCTGAGGCACAAGAATTGCTTGAACCTGGGAGGCGGAGGTTGCAGTGAGCTGAGATCACACCACTGCACTCCAGGCTGGGCGACAGAGATTCTGTCTCAATAAATAAATAAATAAATAAATAAATAAATAAAATGGGTATGAAGTGGTATCTCATTATGGTTTTGATTTGCATTTCTTTAATGACTACAGAGATTGAACATCTTTTTGCGTGCTTATTAGTCATTTGTATATCTTCTTTGAAGAAATGTCTATTCAAGTCCTTTGCCTTTTTTTTTTGAGACAGGGTCTTACTCTGTCACCCAGGCTGGAGAGCAGTGATATGATCTTGGCTCACTGTAGCCTCCAATTCCCAGGCTCAAGTGATCCTTCCACCTCACCTCAATCTCATGAATAGTTGGGATTACGGGCACACATGACCATGGCCAGCTAAATTTTTAATTTTTTGTAGAGATGAAGTCTTACTGTGTTGCCTAGGCTGGTCTTGAACTCCTGGACTCAAGCAATCCTCCTGCCTTGGCCTCCCAAAGTGCTGGAATTACAGGCGTGAGCCGTAGCACCCAGTCTTATTGCAGAGTTTCTGGAATCTTCCAGAGCTTTCTTACCTCTAGAAGTCTTTGTGGGTTTGGAAGTATGTCAATGAGGTCTTCTCAGCCTCTGGGCTGGCTGTTGTCAAGACCTCTGTATCTACAGGAGGAAGTAGCCAGAGCTTTTCATTCAATCTTTCAGGTAAATTAATCAAGTCATTCATTCATTGTATCTTTATCCAAAAAATCATTCTTTGGCTATGTCAGATTTCCAGGCTAACACAAAAGTACAAACTGTTTGGTTCTGTTTCTATGGAGATCAAGAACTGTCAAAGTTAATCTACGGTGCTAGAAGTCGGAATAATGGTTACATTTGGGGGAGCAGGTATTTATTGGAAGGGAACATATAAAAGAGAACAAATGAGAACTTTCTGGGTTGATAGATCTATAACTTGATCTAGATGTTGGTAACACAGGAATGTAGGCAAAAAAATTATTAGATATACACGTAATATTTTTTCATTTTATTGTGTATAAATTTCAGTTTTTAAAAGTTAAAATAAAAAGCTTCAGAAAAGTTTTTTTCCCCAGGATATTTTAAATTTCTTTGGTGTTAATTTCATAGGCTCAAAGGTCTAAGGTGCCCCCCTGTTGCGGTTGCCTGTGGTTCTCTTTGCTCCTCTCTGCCCTCTTGGGCCCAGTACCTAGCATTGTGCTTAGGATTCACAAACGCAGCAAATACTTATTGAGCACCTACTCTGTGCCAGGCGCTGTGCTATGTGCTGAGGAAACAGTGTTAAACAAGATGGATAAGGTTTTCTTCCTTATTGTGTCCATAGTCTAGTGGCAAAGACAGGTAATAATGACTTAGTACATTCTATTGAGGACAAGCACATCGTGCTAAGAAAACCTGTCTGGGAATGGGTCAGGTAAAGCATCCTTGGAGTAGCCCTGTTTGAATTGGGATCTGAAGGCTGAGAGTTATCTAAGTGGGGAGAGCATTGCAGGTGGGGGATCAGCATGTACAAGGGTTCTCAGAAGGGAGGGAGAACAATGTGTAAGAAATATCACTGTAGTTGCAACCCAGAGAAAGGGGAAGAGGGCCCTGAGATAAATCTAGAGATGTGAGGAGGCCAACATTTATTTGACTTTTATCTTAAGAGCAATGTAGAGCCATCAGATTTTTTTTTTTTTTTCTTTTGAGACAGAGTCTCACTCTATTGCCCAGGCTGGAGTGCAGTGGTATGATCTCAGCTTACTGCAGCCTCAACCTCCCAGGCTCAAGCAATCCTCCCACCTCAACTTCCCGTGTGACTTGGGTCACAGGCGTGCAGCACCATGCCTGCTATGTTTTTGTCTTGTTTTCTTGAGACACGGTCTCCCTTTGCCACCCAGGCAGGAGTGCACTGGTGTTATCTCGGCTCACTGAAGCCTCTACCTCCCAGCCCATGTGATTCTTGCCTCATGCCTCAGCCTCCCGAGTAGCTGGGACTACAGGTGTGCACCATCATGCCCAGCTAATTTTTGTATTTTTAGTAGAGATGGGGTTTCGCCATGTTGCCAGGCTAGTCTCGAACTTCCGAGCTGAGGTGATCCGCCCACCTTGACCTCCCAAAGTGCTGGGATTACAGGTGTGAGCCACTGAGCCCAGCCATTTTTGTATTTTTTGTTGAGACAGGGTTTGCCATGTTGCTCAGGGTAGTCTCGAACTCCGGGCTCAAGAGATCCACCTGCCTCAGCCTCCCAAAGTGTTGGGATTATAGGCACGAGCCACTGTACCTGGCCATCATCAGATACTTTTAAGTAGGGTAGTGACATGATCAGATTTCTGATCATTAGAAACATTACTCTGACAGCAGGGTGGAGAATAGATTAGAGGGCGGTCAGGGTAATGCGAAAAGATGGTGGGTATCCCAGTTCAAGCACACTGTGTGTACTCAGTAAATATAGATGGAATGAAAGGGTTCCTGACTCCCTTTCTTCTATGGGATCAGTAGGACTGATCTGTTTAATTAGTTTACATCTACCTGCTCATCCTCCATCTCCTGTGATGCTCAGAACAGACCCCTAACTCCCATTTTACAGATAAAGAAGCTCAAGTTCAGAGAGGCAAGGACAGCTATCAAGAGCAAAAGCCAAAGACAGCTACCATACCATCCAGCAACCCCACTCAGGTATACACCAGAAAAAAGGAAATCAGTGTATGGAAAAGATCTGCACTCGCATGTTTACTGCAGCCCTATTCACAATAGCCAAGATTTGGAAGCAGCCTAAGTGTCCATCAACAGATGAATGGATAAATAAAATGTGCATATACACAATGGAATACTATTCTGCCATTTAAAAAGTGAGATCCTGTCATTTGCAACAATATGGATGGAACTGGAGGTCATTATGTTACGTGAAAGAAGCCAGGTACAGAAACACAAACTTCACATATTCTCACTTATTTGTGGAAGCAACAAATTTTTTATTTTTTTTTTTTGGGACGGAGTCTCACTCAGCTGCCCAGGTTAGAGTGCAGTGGCGCGA